GGAGAGCGTCACCCGGGGGTCCCGCTCCGTCCTTTTCGCCCGCGCTGCCCGTTCGGGGTCTGGGTGTTCCCCTTGCTTCGGGAAGCGTAATCACACCAGGTGTTGGGTAAGCCAGTGTCTTCCCCAGGCATAATCACACCAGACTGGGGGGTAAACCAGGGTCTTCAGGATTTGTTCTCCAGAACAAATATTCCTAGTTATGCAGCATCTCTGAACAACACACTTCCCCAGCCCTGCCTGGGGACAGTTGCTTGTGACACGAATGCCATTGGGGTCTATGTTCACTCTAGTGCTGGAGAACCCTCCCTTGACCAACACAAGGGTCAGCTTGGGCATAGATGTTAAGCAGACACTCAGCCTGGTTCCTTGGCTTCACTCTGTCCCTCCAGACAGAGCCACCACTCTTCCAGACATTAGCTCACAGGGCAACTGGCCATTTTCCTCCATTAAATTCACCACATTACTCTGGGTTATGACCTTAAGATTTGTCTGCCGAGGAGATTTCTTGGGGTTCTCTTTATCCACCTGCCCCTGGGCTACTATTAGCCTCCCCAAAGGAAATGGAGGCATAGCAGCTAGTGGCCAACACCTGGAGGACAGTCCAGCTCCATAGCTGAAAGGGATTGAGTTTCACTCCTGGACCATGTCTCTCCCATTCCAGGGCCAGAGGGGTGAGGTGGCCAGAACAGCACATTGCTCCCCAGAGCTGCCACTTTGGCCTTTTTTGAAAAAACAAAGGGGTTGCAGATACCGACAGGGTTTTTCTTTGTAACTGCATGGGACAAATGCCATCAGCCAGCCCACTGTATGCCAGCCAAGATGAGAGCAGGGTGAGCACTGCAGAAGAAAAATCACCAGAGATATTTTTACAGCAGCCATTTCTAGGGTATTGCTGCAGCCCACCTCTGTGCTTGCTTGCAACGTGAGTTGAAGCGGAATTTTCTTCCCCCAACGCAAATTTCCTCACTGGCATCGCTGAAGTGCAAGTTGCCATGGAAACCATTTTGTCTGTGTCCCATGTTGCCCACATGCACTCGGAAGAAGCTGCAGAAGCAAAATGGCCGTTGTGTAATGCTGCAGGGTCTCAGCATATGAGGGGCTGCTGTGCTACACAGCACCCTTCCAGCTATGTGACCCTCTCAGAGAAGCTGCGGACAACTGCATGGGAAAGCAATGAAACCCATGGAGGTTATGACGCACTCAGTGAGAGAAGGAAAATGGCCCCACCTCACCTTAACTCTTGCAGTGCTTTGCGTGGAGCTCTACACTGATCCTGCTGTGCTCTCAGCACGGACTTCCAGGCACGCTTTACCCTTTTCAGTGTCACTGTGTCTTTCCTACTCCTCCACGCATGGAGATGAGGCCCTTGCTGTACTCATGTGGTGTGGCTCTGTCCACCCCGAAGGGCCTGAGTGCTGTCTTGAAGGGACAAAGGGTGCAAGTTAAAGAGAGTTGCATCCATACCCTTAGACTGCACACATCTGACTTCATCCCATCTCTGCCTACCAGGTGCATTTCCAGTAGATTCTTTGGGAAGACACTGTTTTGGAGCAGGCTATACAGACCCGGACCCTGGTGGGTGTGATGGCAGTAGAATCATAAAGGCAAGACTTGGCCGCAGCAGGCAACTTAGCAGGGAAGACAAAGGAAAAAGGCAGGCTTTGAAATATTATTTGGCTTGCTCACATTGGAGTGCAAAAGGTCTTTCCTCCTTATTATCTAGAGTTCCCTGTAGGGAGAAAAAGAAGCTCAGTTACTGAGCCCCTCCTGTGTCGCCCAGGAGTCTAGGATGATCATTCAGGAGCCCGGGTCTTCGCTCTGTGCCTCCATTCATTTCTTGTCTCCAGAGACTCTTGTTTCTGGCACCGTTGCAAAGATCTGAGAAATGCCTGCTTGCCTCTCAGGTCATGCCTCCCACTGGGCCATGTTGTCCTGGCATCAGGAACAGCCCAGATCACAATATCCAAGCAGTCAGGCTCAGCCAGCACAGATGTTGTCACCGCACGACTTCCACTCTTGCTGCGTCCTCAGGCTCTTTGATCTTCTGAAGGCAATGGGTGCATGCAGGGCTTTCCCAGGGTGGAAGCCGTGTAAATGGCAAGTACAACTGCATCCACCAGCTGATCCTTGTAGAGGACTCTGTAGCGAGCAATGGTCTGCTTTCCCAGTCGCTGCCTCCTGGCATATCATGGCAACCTTCTTAGCCATGGTTTGGCGCAAGAACTTAACACAGTTGCCTGTTAGCAATTAGCATGTTTTTCTATCTGGCACCTTCTGGATGGATGCAGGGGAGTTGGACAAGAGCATGGGACTGATGTTTGTGTGGTGTCCTGTTGCCTGTGAATGGTGTCATTCCTCCCATGGCCAAAGTCAGTGTAAAACCTAGAGACTTCAGGGGAGCAACTGTGAACCCAGCTGGAAATTTTATCTGCCTTGGGGTAAGGTGTCAGTCCCAGCAGTGGAAAAGATAGTATGGAATTTCATAAAAGAGGAAATCAAGCATTAGGAATATGTAATTTGTGCCAGTCATCATCGAGCTGCCAAGCAAACTAAATACTTCTTTTGAGAAAGTTAAAATTCAATTGATAGAAGTAACCACACAGCTACAACACAGGCTATGGAAATGCTTTTTACATACAGCTGCAAGATGTAAGAGTGGTTCATCTAAGGTATAGAACTAAGTAAAGCACATACTGGGTGGCCATGGCAGATCTCTAAGAGTGGTTGTTAGTGAAGAACTGCAATGGGATGCAGGTATTCCTAGAGGTATGAGAGGATTTGTGATGTGGTTGATACGTGAGTATTTCTGCCATTGCTCTGGAAGCAATCACTGATGATAAAATCTGTGAGACAGAAAACAATGATGCCAAATAATTTGGATTGTTTGATAAACAGAGTGCCAAAACATATTTTAAGACAGTCAGTGCAGAGTCATGTAAGCAGAAGCAAGTATTGTTGGTCCTGCCCTTAGGACAGGACTGTGGATGCAGCAGAAACATTGAGGGGAAAGGACGCCTCTAATATTGACCAGGGGGTCAGAGATCATGAATTTCAAAACAAAAAGGAGGCAGTGTTGTCCTTGGTGCACTCCTGAGGGGTCAGAGCAGCAGCCGGCAATGGCTTGAGCCTCTGTACAAAGCACTGAGGAATCCTGGATGGGAAACCTGCCCACAGATCTGGGGATCACATTTTTTACAAAGAGGCTGAAAAAGTGGCAAAAAAGTCCCTTGAGAATATTTGGAGAAAAACTCCTCATGAGCTGCTGCAGAAGACGTGAGAGTGCTTGCTGCCTGCGGTATTAGGCGTTGCCTACCAGGAGCAATGACAGACGACTGCCTCTGTGCAGGTGCTTTCCCCAGGGGCTCTGAGCACTGGAGAAGCTGTTTCCAGAGTCGCTCCGTCAGTGCAAGCTGGCTCCACCACAGCTGGGGAGGCAGGGTGGTGAATTTGGAAGAAGGTAACCCTCCCCTCCTTGCACTGTCTCCATGCCATGGCCAGAGCCTCCTGCCCAGTTTCATCACATGTACTGTTCCTATTGCTTGGGTATCTGGACACCTCCCAGGAGAGTCCCATGCCCTGGGTACCCTGCAGGCAGAGGACACCTGCCCTTGGTGGGTCTCTGCCATGCGACCAGCACAAGGTTAGCTTGGGACAGGGACAAAGAATGGCACTGAACCCCAGTCTGAGGTCAAGGCAGGCAGCGGGTGATGGCAGACAGCAGGCAGGGACGATGGACAAGAAAGGGGGTGCAGGGGTCCCCCGCAGCTCCTCACCACCCACCTGGAAGCTGGCACAGGCACAGTGTGTTCCCCGCCATCAGTCCACTGGGGAATGGGCTTTGTGTGAGCAGCTGGGACGCAGCAGAGGACGTCCTTGTCACAGTGTCAGCCATCTAGCCAGACTGACAGGCAATAGTTGGTGTCTGCAGAGAGCAAGGTGCCCAAAGGCATTATTTCTGTGGTGGGGGAGCTACAGGGAGCAATGGGGTGGAGACCAAGGTGAAAGTGTCTGAGCAGCTGTTTTGCCTGAGCTGTTGCTGTCTTATGTTCTGGCCCTGTCTCCACCTCTTTTCCAGATGACACCCAGGATGGACTGCAGTCCCTAAGCAGGTCTTGTGCTCTCCCTAAATGCTTTCCCAGCTGAGAGGAACTCATCCCAGCCTACTTTGCAATTCAGATGTGGCTGGTGGAGTTACCAGGCAGCGCAGTTCCCTGCTCCAGTGCTGGTGCAGCACAGAGCTGCCCTGCTACAGGCATCTGTGTTGTCTTTACTCAGGTCTCCCCACAGGGCGCAGGATCTAGGGTTCTAAGGGCCTTTGCCACCCTCCCAAGCACAGTGTGTGTCACCTCTGGAGTCCATGTCATCACAGAAAGAAGCTGCAGCAGTATCCTATGCCAAGTGACCAGAACTGAGGTATCTCTCCCCTCCACTGTCAGGTTACTGCATCACCCATGCGCAGCGCCATTCCCACCATCCACCAGTGCTTTGCCTTCGTCCAAGGCAGCTGGGCATTCACAGGGCTGGGGGGAGTTAAAACAAGAAGACAGCAGTTAGGCTGGCTTTTGGACACCAAGAGATTCCCTAAGAGGGCAGGGAGATTTTCAGGTGACTGGTAAGAGGATGGGACATGGAACATCAATGGCCAGAGGCAAAGATGGTGAGAAACACAGAAACAGTTTCCCTCAGCAGAAGGAACTGAATGCACAAAAACACACAGTCAGATGTGCAGTAGGAGTGGGTGGTAATTTCCACTGGAATAATTTTCTAAGGGAAAAGCATTCACATGTTTGAAATGCTCTGTAGGGAAATTTTCATTTTGACAGAATTCCAATTTTCTGCTAGAAAACCAGCCAAGATGTGGCTGGGCTTCAGCTGCCTGCGCATCATGTCCCAGGAGATGGGACAACTTGTCCTCAAGGGACTTCCAGCCCCCTGGGACTGCTGCATAGCAGAGGCTGGAAAGGAGCTCAGAGAGATCAGTCATTG